AAGTCAGACATATAACAATCTCTCTTAAAGATAGCATATTTCTGTTCAATGTGCTGAATGGTGCCTTGGCTGCAGCAATCTTAATGCAATTCAGGTTCTGAAGAAACTTTTTGTATTCCCAGACAGGAAAAAAAATAATCATTTTGGGTATTTACAACCATAATGGAAGTTTCTTTTCTTTTCTTTTCTCTTTTTTTTTTTTTTTTTTTTGAAAGATGTTTTCTGGTTTGGCTGGAGTTATGGCTTAAACTTTGAACCATGCCAGATTTTCAGGGGGCCAGGCTAACAACCTGACCATCTGATTACCAAGTAATGAATTAAAGCCCTTCGTCTTGATAGGCCACCAGGGCTTGAATGGCGATGCGGGATGATGATCTTCACCCTTTTGGAAAGCAGGAGCAAGTGGTAAGTCTGCAGGGGATATGCATGCCATCAATGAGGCTCTGCATTTTCGCCCTATCCACTTTTCAAGTAGAGAGCGATGAATTTATTGAACCAAGCTTTTCCTTTTCGAAGCCCTCAGTTCATGGGTGCATTTGCTAATAGATTTTATGCCATTGTATATTAAGACTCCATCTTTCAATGCAATTGATATCCCCTGCCCTTCCAATTTTTGCTTTTCCTTGTGCAAATGGAATTCATTAGCCTCACAATGCTGAGGTTCAAACTTGCATCATAATTTTTTCCTTATAATTATTAACTACAATGGACAAATGGAATAGTTTCGTTAAAATTGTGTAATTTTAACTTTTACTTCCTGAACAAACCAGGTGCCGTTTAATGATAGAATGACTTACGTTAAACAGAAAATTAAAATAACTTAAAAACAGATTTTCTTTGTTATCCATTTTCATTTCGTCAGTCAGTTCACCCTAGGCTCTGCGTCGGTTCACCTTAGGCGCTACATTTGAGAGTGCTGTGTAGTGGAAAAAGGCAATTGCCTTATCTCAAAAGAGGAAAAAAAATATATACATGAGTAGATAAACAAGGTGCAACAAAACCGAATTTTGTATTAATACATTGATGGGCAAATAATAAAATATTTAATACTATAAAAATCAAGATCCATCATGTCCTGAATTTCGTTCAGTTTTCTAGTAAAAACAAAAACTAACTTATTGCGCTGCTTTTATTAGAATTTCCACCACCAATTTAGCTTGGTGACTAGGTAATTGCAACAGGTATTGCAAAATGATGTCCTACTTAGCATCCTTGGATAGGAGATGGTGGGTTTCAACTTTCCGGGCGTTGCAGAGCTCATCTACGCCATCACCCCTCTCAAAGACAGCTGCTGCACCCATTCCTGTGCCTGTATTTATGTCAGTAACACCCAAGTCAGTATTTTTTATTCAGCAGTATAGGAAGAAAAGGAGAGAACAAAGGGAAGAGCAAGAGACAATACCTATGCACATTGACACCACTCCAAAACGGCAGTCTTTGCCACGTCTCTTCATTTCATGCAAGAGCGTGCCAACACAGCGAGCACCTGCAATAGAAAACAAGAAGGTTGCGAATTTAGATCAGATGTCTCGTGTCTCCTGTATCAATCATTACTTATGTTTCACCCATATGCATATGTAAAAACAGATAAACAACCAGACTTCAAATCATGTTTTGATGAGCAACAAGCAACATCTAACATTCACAAACTCAAATATGCATTAATTGAAGCAGTGATTATGAACAGTACTTCAAGAAGGATATGATCAAAGCCCAGCTAACTCTTACCACCTTGAGGCAACTGGGTAGAACAAAACCCAGAACACCTGCCATTGTCAATTCATACCTACCATCAAGCCTAAAACTTCTGCTAATGTGGAGTTGATGGGCAGACAGCTCTACCCCTCATTCTCTCTCTACTCTCCAATCAACTCAACCCCACACCAATTGGAATGATTCAGAGCAAAACATGTCCTCTTTCCATTTGACTAAATAATTTCAGTGGAAACAAATGATGAAATACATTATTGAAATTTGTGGCATAAACAAGTGTACCTGTTGCACCCAAAGGATGCCCAATTGCAATTGCACCTCCATTGACATTGATCTTTTCAGGATCAAGATCCAGCTTCTTGCGGCAATACACAAACTGAGATGCAAATGCCTGTAGGAAACAATGAAGTTTGAGAATTCAGATGTTGAAACTCATTTAAAACAAACTGGTTAATCAAGCAAAATTTTGTAATAGATTTTACCTCGTTTATCTCAAAAAGATCAATATCATCGAGTTCAAGCCCTGCAGCTTTAACTGCAGCCGGAATTGCAACAGCTGGGCCAACACCCATGATGGCAGGATCCACACCAACTGCAGAAAAAGTCCTGCAAGATCAAGTAGTAAATTCAAATTAGAAAGTAAGAAGCAAAAGTGGGCAATGACAACCCAAGGCTGAGGTGGAATCTGAAAGTTCCGGACCTAATCATTTCAATGAAATACCATCGATGACATCATTGATACAAGAAATAGTTTTTGTATATCAAACAGCCAAAAATATATTATTTGGAAATTCCTCAACAATAAAGCAGGGAGTGGATGTTTTGGGGACCATTAATTGCAGGTAAATCCATCACAGAATGCTTTAAAAGTCCTGAAAGTAAGAGCATGTCCTTTTTGCTCCATTTTAAGATAAGAGATCTTGGTTGTGTATGGTTGATTGATCTAGCAACTTAAAACAATTTTGTTTCAAACTAAAGCAATTTAAACTGAATATCTGTAGGGACACAGTGGAAGAAACTGAGAGCTGTACAATAATTTGTTACATGCTCATGAGATCCCACATTAAAGATGAAAACTGAATACTTCCTCCACAATTTTATTCTGTGTCAAAAATTTGGTTCAACATGAATCTTATGAACTGGACATACGTGCACTCGGATGAGACTTAATAGAATCTATAAAGCTACAAGTATGTCAGAAAATTAGTTTTATTTTATGTAACATAATTAGAAGGATGCACAGGCAGGCCTCACATACCTGAAAACACCAAGGATGGGTAACCCTTTTTGCATGGCAACACTTCTCTTCATGAGTAGAACAGCCCCAGCACCATCACTCACTTGGCTAGAATTCCCTGCAATAACAGCATAATACAATCAAATAGACTGAAATGAACTGATCCCTTAGACCTCCCAGGCAAAAAGAAGTATGTGGTATTAGTCAATACCAGCAGTAGTGCTCCCATCCTTCTTAAACACAGGCTTTAACTTCAAAAGATCTGACAGTGAAGCATTTGGTCGAATCCCATCATCAACAGAAATGGTGACAGGTTTCTCATCCCCAGTTTTTGGGTCAACAATCTTCATGCATGAAATTTACATTAGAAACCCACCATGAATGACACATGCACTCTTGCCCAATCAGTGCAAAAATGATATGTCAAAAATGGATTATATTGCTAAAATGCAATGAACCAGTACATACCTTGGTTTTGACAGGGATTATTTCATCCTTAAATTTACCAGAAGCAGTAGCAGCAGCTGCTTTCCTGTGAGAGTCAACCTAACAACAAAATTTAAACAAATTAATACACATAAAAGTTTCAGAACCATATATATATTATAGATCTATTCAACTCACTGCAGCCTGATCCTGCTCCTGCCTTGTCACACTAAAACGATGTGCAACATTCTCAGAAGTAATTCCCATAGGAAGCAGGCAGTTCTGCGCCTGCTCCATGCTCTTTACCTGTCATAATCAGCAAAAGATCACGTCATAATTTTACACTAACCACTGTTCCTTATGGATAAAAATAAAAGAGAGAGTGAGGATATACCCTTGGATTGACTGAGCCTTCCCAAGCCATTGGATTAGAGGTCATGGATTCCAACCCAGCCCCAATACCTACATTTGAAGTAGGTATTAAAATTAGAGGCTTTACGTTTAAAGCTACATTATGAAGAGCCATTCTTAAAACCAAGTTTCTTCTTACCAATGTCATAAAACCCTGCTTTAATGGCAGCAGCTACATCAGCAACAGCCTGAAGCCCAGATGAACATTGCCTGTTAACTGTTCTGACAGGCACAGTGTCTGCATAACAACAAAATTTGGTAAACATAATTGGGATAACAGAAAAATAAATAACATTTCTAGAAAAGATGCAGCCAAACACACATACCAGGAAAGCCAGCATAGAATGCAGCCATCCTGCATTCACTTGCTCTTTGAGATCCTGGTGCCAACACTGTACCCACAACAATGTCTCCGACTTCACTTGGGTTCAGATTGGTCTTTTCTATCAATGCCTGCAACCAGAAATCACCATCAAGACAAAGAAATAATAGAAAAATAGAAAAACAACAAAGCAAAGATTAAGAAAAAAAAAGGGGGGGCAGCGGTGACAAGAGGAAAGCCTACATCTCCTCCTAGGCCTACATGCCCTTCCTTTACAGGACTTGAAATGAACAAATTAAAAAATGAAATTAATGTAGATAATAGACAAACCCTCAAAACAGGTGCAAGCAAATCATCAGGATGAGTATCCTTGAAGCCGCCACGCTTAGATTTGCAAATGGCAGTTCTATGTGCTCTGCAGAACATGAAACAATCAAAATTAAACATCACAGAATGATACTTGATCACATTTACAAAATTAAGCATAAAGAATGCTGAATTGCTGATAAAATTGATCATCGAAGTGTAGAGCTACTCACGCGACTATCACCACGTCGTCTCCAAACACAGAAGACCTCTGATACGCAGCGCTATCCCCAGCTAAACATGCTGATGCCTGGTAACGTCAAAATTCAATTTATCAGAACAAAGCAAATCCCATTTTATTTAAATCGAAAATAATTCAATTGAAACTCCAAATATATATATATATATATATAGATATAAGTGAAAAAGTGCTATTCACTCTAAAAAAAAATTTAGAGTTCTAAATTAAAATTAAAATTAAAATACAAAATTTTATCTTATTAAATATAAATATTAAATATTGATATTTAAATTTAAAAATTAATTAAATTTGTAAATTTTAAATTAATATTTTAATTTCTTAATATAGATATGAGACAAATAAAATTTGGGAGTGGACTGATACCACTAACCTCATGTATACACTTTGAGAGATATTAATAACATCAATCATCACAATCGGAAATGAAATTCTACGAAATCCAGATTAACGCCGGTACCAATCCGATAACAGATATGCATTAATCTTGTGATTAAAACAGTGAAATATGATGAAATCATGGACTAATTAAACATGATCCGTCCTGAATTCAAGAATCAAAGAATAAGATAAGCAAAAAGAGAAGCTTACAGAAATGGCGGAATCGTAATTGTTGGGGGAAGAAGAAGCAGAAGGGTTGAGATGGTGGAGCAAGATACGCTGCCTGTTGATCGCTTTCTCCATGGCTTTAACTGAGAGATACAGAGAAATGAACGGCAGCTATAGGGAAGGATCGGGATATTCGAAGAGGAAAGAACGAGGAGGAAAGAGAGGAGTTGCGGGTGATGATATTTATATAGAGAGAAAAAGCTTAATGATCGATCAGACGTAGGAAAAGGCCGATTCTGATTTTGCGATGAGGAAGATGATTAGATGAAGACGCAAGCGTTCCTCTGCTCATCGTACTCTCACTACCAGCGCGTGGAAAAAATCTGCTTCATCCCGATTTTTGCAGGACTTCTTTTATTTTTTTTAAGTATTCCTCCGTCCATTTTTAATAAAAAGTTTTTCTTTATTTTATATTCTTAACATACAAATAAAAAATATAATTAATATTTTAATTAATTTTTATTAGAAGTGTAGATTAATTTTAATTTAATTAATTAAATAAAATCATTTATATGTTAGTGGTATTAAATAAATATTATTTTTTAATTTTTTTATATAAATTAATTTTAAAAATATATTTATTATACTCTTAATTTATTTTTTAATACATAAGTTAAACAAATTTTTTAATAAATTAAAATTTTTAATAAAATAAAAATATAATAATTTATTAATAAAAAATTATATTTATCTTTAATTAAATATTATTTAAATAAAATATATGGTAGCAGTTGAACTTTCGCGTCAACTGACAACCTACCAACTTAAGGTGTATTCTCCTTTCTTCATAAACAATTTCAAACTCATGACAACTTGTTCATATATATATATATATATATATGGTAATTATATATTAAAAGTGTTTCCATTTTTTTATAAGGTCAACTGTATAAAGATTGCAAGAACGGACACTATGCCATCAGTCAAGTGGTATGACAATAAAATTATTTACACTCTTAACTAGAGATTTATGATTTAATTTATAATTTTCATTAAAAAATAATTGAGTTTTATAAATTTATAATAATGATCTAATATTAAATAAATAAATAAATATAATATTATGTGTAATTTTTTATTTAATTTTAAAAAATAATATTTAAATTAAATATAATTATTATTATTAAATGTCATTTATATACTACATTTTCATAATTAAATCAAACATGAGACTAGTTTGTTTTACGAATTCAATTAAAATTTAATCTTTTTATAAAACTTAAATAACCTAGTATAAATGGTTGTGTGTGATAACAATATTAACATGCAAAGGATTAATAAAGAAATAGGAGATGTATCAATTTCCTTTTCTCTTAATTTGTAGTAATTGAAAAAAAAAAAATCTCACTTCTTGATTATCCAAAAAATTTGAAAAAGAAAATTGAATAAGAGATAGCAGGAAAAAAAGGAAAAAAAATAAAAGGTGGCTAACCAAGAATCAACTATATTAAAAGTGTCATAATTATTTTTTTATTTTTAACCATATACCGATACGTAATCTAAAAATAAAGATTTAGTGGCATAAAATCTTATTCTTGCCTTTAAATTCAATCATTAATATTTTATATTGATCTTATCTTATATAATATATAGTTATATATGAATAAAGATTTATTTATATATAAATTTTATATAATATATTTATATAAAATATTAATTTTTTATTTTTTATTTTTAATAATTAA